TTTATATGGTTTTAAATTTCATATGTTCATGCCTTCTTGATAAATTGCTTAAAGGATAAATTATTGAAATTTCATGCATGTTTCACGGTGTGAATTTTGGGACTCACTGTAAAATTTTGAAAGTTAGAAAAAAAATTGTTTTTCCATGTTTTTTGGTTTAAATGTGTTTAAAATGATTTATATTAGCATGTTTTAATGTTGTAGAAGTTAGTTCCTCCATAAATGAAGAATGAGAATGTGTGTTGAAGTGTGGAAATTATTTCCAAGAGTTGTATGTGTTGCCTAGCAAAATGCATGTCAATGTGTAGTTGGTGTTACTTGTAAGTTTGGTGCAATGGCTATGAATGTTTTTATGTTTATTTGATATTTTATATGATGCTAATTGAGTCCTTAATGTACTTAAAAGAGTTTAGTGTCATTCGAAGACCAATGTTGTTCCAAGTGGGGGAGAATGTAACACCCTAAAATGAACTAAGGTGAACTAGATCTTCGTAAATATTTCATGAGTTAATTTTGTTTTAAAATGGTTAATAATTATGTCCTTAGTAAGTGTATGAAGTTTGGTGACGTTTGGAGGTCAAACGTCCATGACGTTCGGAAGGTATGCCTTAGAAAGTGCTTATGTTCCTTCATGTGTTTTAGCAAGTTTTACGTGTTCGTTTTGATAAAAATTGATGTGGGATGTTACTAAGACCTAAAATACTATGTGTAGGGGTTTAACGTCCAAGTACGACCCCTAATAGGACCCACAAGGGGCCCTAGAAAAGGACCCCATCCCTTTGGCAGGATGCTGCCAAGCAGTGAAAAACGATGGCTACAAGGGATGGACCGTTGGTCAAACAACAGCCCGTCGACCTTGGGAGTCGACCGGCCCTGAGGGCTAGCAAATCCTGCACAATATAGAGCCTCAAACCCAATGAAAGGACCCTATCTAAGGGGCGTCGATCGGGCAACTGTCCATCTGTGAAGGGGAGTCGATGGTGCTTGCATAAAGCTATCAAAAATTTGCCTTGGCTTGGGGTGTTTGGTAAATTTACCCCAAGTCTTTTATGAACCATTGATGAATATTTAGGGTCTTTTAGGTATATTAAGAGGGTTCAACACTAAGACCTAATTTTAGACTTCATCTTCAAAAACCTAAAACCCTCTCTCAAGAAAGACTCTCTAAAACCTCTTGGAAGCTTGAACTCAAAGGATGGCTTGGAGGACTGGTTGTGGTCGTGGTATTCATCAAAAATTAGTGGGTTTCCTTATCATTGAGGTATGGTATTCATCATTGGACCTTTTTTCTTTCAAGGAGTCACTTCAAAGAAATTTCTAAAAGGGTTTAAAATATCAAACTTCTTTATTCCTTGACTCTAAGTATGGGTCTTTGTATGAAAACGTTTTATTGATTAAAATGAGTTTTTCTTAGTATTAAATGATGATTTTAATGTCAAAACCCCAATGAAAACATGTTTATGCTTTTTATCAACTTTTAACTTATGAAATGGGTTTAATAAGCAAGATTAGTAAATATTAGGGTTATGGTTTCTTGATGGTTAAAATGTAGTTTAGCTACTGCCCTAAGGGATATTTTATGATAAATTGTTGGGTAAATATTGAATAGGTGTTCAAAGCTTGGATGAATGGTAAGTTGGCCTCATTGTTTAACTCTTATTATGAAATGCTCTTGAATGGTATGGTCCACCTTTAGTGGCGGTGTTTACTTGAATATATGAATGTGAATTTACATGTGTATTGTGAATAAATCCATGAAGGCATATTATGTGAAATAAGATGATAATGATTTTGTCTTGTTAATGTGCTTTATGAAGCTTGTTATGTGAAGTATGCTAGAGATTATGTCTAAATGAACTATATGTTTATGTGCAGCATGTTAAAGTATGTAATATGATGAATGAAGGTGTAAGCATGTATAGAAGTCAATGTTATAAACATGATGATTATGTGAAAGGTGAGTTCACATGTACACACACACTCACAGTTTGAGTGAATGAATGAAGTTAAAGAATGTGCATAAAAAGGGGAGTTTTGAGGTGAACACTCATTGTGAATTGAAATAAAGTGTTTAGTAGCAACCTCACTGTTCCCAAGAGCTTTCTAAGATAGATTGGAGGTTGGATACCCCATTATGAGTTGAGAGTACCCTTCGTGAGTTTAGATGTGGTGCTAATTAGCTATCATTTGACCTAAAGTAATGAATGTTTAAGACTCCGTGGGGGAGTTATGCTTAGCACCGAGGATTTGAAGAAGGGGTGGGTGCACATTGTGAGAAGAGATGTTGTACCCAATGTACCTCTTGAAATTAGTACTCCTCGTAAGTAGAAAGAGTGAGTTACTTAGTAGCAATCTCCTTATCTCTTAACTATGCGCCCACATAGGTGTAGCTATTGGATAAGCCATGTAAAAGCTAAAAGAATGACCCCACCCTAAGAAAGTGGGGAACCCTCATCCGATAAGGGTAGTATTGGGATTCCATGTCTAGCTCTCATGGTCTATGTCGGTTAAATCTATCCCCTACAAAAGAATGAATGAACTAAATCTCCCAAAAGAACGTAGTAAGTGGTGGTATGGGACGTTATCTATCCATTGCACTAAGTAGAACTTCCAAAAAGGGAGTCTTGGTGTGTTTATATGAAGTGTATGAACTAAGTCTCCTAAAAAAATGTACTACTTAAGGTACGTGGTGGTATGGGATGCTATCTATCCATTGCACTAAGTAGACCTTCCGAAAGGAGAGTCTTGGTATGTTTTATACTAAGTGTGTTAATGAGATATCATGTGTTGTAAATGAAGTTAATGACTTAAGGTCTAATGTTAAGAAAGCATGTTAAAGTTAAGTTTTGTGTAATGAATTTATGAATGACTAATGTAGTGTGCTTAATTGAAGGGAACCCTCAAGGAGCACTAAGTGGGAGTAGTAGTATGGATGTTACTCTCACATTGCACTTAGTATTACTTACAAGTCCTATTGGACAAGGGCACTTACATGAGACTTTCATGTATGATTGCTCTTCTAATGTCTAGTCTAGAGTGTGGACTTGTTTCTCGTACGAGGTAAGCCTATGGTTGGTAGTCTTAAGAGTCACTTAGGAGTGTATTAAAGGGGGTGTATAGGTGGTTCTTTCATATCCTACCTTAGTGAATCTTAGGATACCTTGGTTAGGGAAACTTTGAAGGAAAGAGTTCACTGTAATGTAAAATGTGTTCACTGTAAAGTTGTATGGTTTATTGAAAAAATTTTGTTTTGGTTCTGAAATTATGTTTATCTTTTATTATGTGCTAAATGATGATTCTTATACTATTTTAATACTATGTTCATGAAGGTTTTACTTATTTGGCATGAAAGTTTTATTTATACTAAAATGTCCCTTTTTGCATGTTTTTGCATATGTCATACTTAGTAAATTATTTTGTACTAACCCCATACTTTTCTATACGTAATAAGTATAGGTTGAAGGCAAGTTGAAGACTAGAAGGCAAGCTTGGGAATCGACTCTCTCAAGACTAAGTATATCCTCATATATTCGAGGGCATAGTTATATTTCTTAGTTTCTAGCATTAAAACTTATTATGTTATTTCATTTAATGTAAAGGGTCATGTCCCTACGATATTTATGTATTTAAGTTGGCTTGTGAAGACGAGATCACTCCTTAGCTTTTATGAAAGATGTTTCCTTTTTTAATTTATTCGTGAAAAGTTTTAATTCAGCACTACTTTTCATGTCATATGTAATGAATGATAATTAAGGCTTGTACAAGACCTCTGAAAGGTTAAGTACGCAATTGTTCCGACCTAAGGGTTGCCCCCTTCTTCTAGGGGGTACTTTCGGGTGTTATGTGATTTTTTACAACAACGGTTATATATATATATATATATATATATATATATATATATATATATATATCATATTTCTTCCTTTTCAACATAATTGACACTTGTTCCAACAAAGTAAAAATAATAATATCATTAATATTAATATCATCAGCAAAAATGAACTCTTCATCAATTATATTTTACAACTTATCAACAAAAAGGTAATTCATATTGGTATACATAACCATCAAAACTGTATCTAATCAATGATGGTAACCACAACACTTTCATCTATGAAGTTTGATTTTTTAGGTCTAGGCCTCTATGAATATTCATTTGTTACCAACATAGTCACTCCGAGCCTTTAAAAATGCATAATTTTATAGGATTGAAGCATATCTCATATAAAGGGTTTCAGAAATAATTCCATAAAATGGTACTTGTAATTCATCACTCAAAAACACATCGTATACAGCAACAAAAAGTCAACAATCTCTGCATGGTATATCATCAATTAAAAAATATAATAAACCTTATAACATCACATTTCAATAGTGGTGAAACAAAAAAAAACATGTGTTACTTACAGATTATTATTGTTTTTTTGTTAGGCAATATCAGTAACATGTATGACTTCGAATGGGTGAGATTTGTTCTTTCCTTGGTAAGATTCAAGAACTGACCAATTGGTTTGTTCTTTTTGCTCAAAAAATCGCTGGATCAAAGATACTTTGACAACATATAGACAACTTTTGAATCTCAACGTATAATTTTTATTTAGTCCTAGATGAGGACATCGAATCATACACCTTTATGCATCATTCCTTCAATATAACGAATGTCAAGACCTAATGAAACTCCCCATTACAATTTACAGAGACATAAACCTCATATGTGAAATGCCAACACAGTCCAGCAGGTATACCAAACCCTTTGATAATGTCAACAATTTTATACTCATTTTTAGGAACAGCATTGACATTGTCAATGTATGTTTTGAAAAAAAAAATAATTAGTAGTGGTATGTCGATATTTCGATGACTCTATTTCTTTGACTTCTTTTGCAAATAGTATATAATGACATTCACATGCTACAGATGCATCAGCAAATGTGTTTTTGTATCAATTATTTGTATGTATTCATGTTTTAATCAAAATATAAAATTGGGCATTAATTTACCTCATTAGTCCATCACCTATTTGATTGAGACATTGCGTAGAACCAGTCCTTCTTTGAAAATGTAACTACAGAATCACGTTGTATGAATTCAAGATTCGAGCAATTTGCTAAGTTGTTGATCGTCCTTGTCTCTTCTGCAATTATGTAATCATTATAAATAATTATTTAGTGGACAACAAAAAGAAATATTAATAATAGTTGAACAATTTCACTTTTTTGTATGATGCTTGTAAAGATCCTCATTTATTCATTGGGAGAAAGATGACATTAGTTCTGTGAACCCTCGCCGTCAATGTTCAAACCTTCAAATGAATATTGTTGCTTCACATCACAACTGATGACTTTCTTCTCTTTCTTTCTCTTTCTCTTTCTCCTTCTCCTTCTCCTTCCCCTTCTCTTTCTCCTTGCCTTTTTGGTTTGAGTGTGATATTGTGATTGGGAAATAGATTTTTTCAACCTGCTACACTTCAAAGGCTATAAAATCTTCTTGGGTATATGGATATCAATTTTGTAAGTCATTTAATATTAATGAGTTCTTTAGAATGACTAATAAAATAATCATGTTGCTACTCACATTCTTCACGTAGACAAAAAGAGCATTTGATATTAGAAGATGAATCAACACCTACAAAAGATTGAGTTGTTGTCATAGATGAAGCTTCTTGTGGCATTTAATCTACAAGATAAATAAAAAAAAGGTTGAGAGCTTACAATTGATTATAAAATAATAATGGGTAGCAATTTATACTTATGTTGACACAAATGAATATTTTTTGCCACAGATGTACCTTTTGTTGCCACAAAAAAATCTTTTGTTTTTCATTGTCCTTACACATAGGTGACATATTCCAATATATGACAATTTTGTTGGAATATGTACCAATATCACTAAAATGTTGCAACATACAGCACATCTTTCAATAATTCTACAATCATATGGAAAAAAATGGTCACAAAAAGAACAACAAAAAATGACTTTTCACTGAATGTTAACAATACATTTACATTTTCTCAAAATTAGGGCTTTTTTGAGCTTTTTGAGAAACAATAAAAATAAGTACCATTACATCATTATTCAGTTTTCACATTTATAGAACGACTTATTGTTCATTAATTCAAGAAAAAAATTAGTATTGTTCGAAATTGTAAAATCTTTCAAAAAATCACTTACTCATTTAAAGTCGAACACGATCTTCAATTCAAAAAGATGAGAGAGTTACGACCGGAGATGAAGAGGAAGATATAATAATGGTGAGAATATTTGTTTTGATAGTCGGATTTTTGAATTTTCTAAGGAAGAGGAAGAAGATAAGAGAGAACATCACGAGAAGAAAAGACAATTCTATCTTCTCTTTTTTTAAAATGGTTGGATAGAATTATAAAAGTTGAAAAATGTAGTATTCTTTTGTATTTTATAAAAAATTAAAAAATTTTGAAAATGTTAACTTGATCCCAAATTTACTTAATTACATTTAAATCACACCAATAAATTATATAATTTCTTGAACATATGATTTAGTTTTTCATAAATAATTATAAATATTTTATGCCTTTTATTCATTAGTGTGGTTCAAGTGTGACTCTTTCCCATGCATTACAACACTATTATCTTCTATTACTCAACGTATCAAGACCCAAAAGTTAAGGCTTTGAAACGGTGTGTACGCCGAAAGAAATACACATATTTACTTATTTTAAAAAGACTGCAAATGTTCATCATAACCATTTAAAAAGAATATTAAGATAAGAGTGGTCCATAGTAAATGTAAGATAATTACCTCACTTGCTCCTTCAATATTGGACCTTTATTATGAGGTTTTGAAATCACAAAGGACGACAACCACCAATACAAAAAAGCAATGTTGGAAAAAGATTGTTATGAATCTTGGTACTTTACTCTAACACTAGTAATATTCTTTTGGAATATATAAATAATAAAACTCTCAACATATTTGTTCGACAAAAAGGCATTTGCTCTTTCCTAGCAAACTGTCATCACTCAGACATCAACCGTAATAAAATTACTATATGGATCAGATCAGTTGTTATTAATGTCATTCCAGATTATGGTCCCCTTTTTCCCATTCAAAAGAAACAAAAAATAGCAACACAAAGTGAATTATATAAACTGCCATTAATTTTTTGAGGTCTACTTCACACGAAAATTTTATTATGTGCGGAATACAACTTCTATCAGTTGTATGAGACTCATTTGGCTACCAAATGTTAATGGAACTCACATTCCACTTTCATTTCATTTCCTTTTCTCTTTTATTTTAACCTTTTCTTTTTTACTTTTACTTTCTCCTCCCAATTCTTTCTTGCCTTTTTCTATTTGTTATTAACATTTAACATAATTTTATTTTTGTATTGATTTTTTTGCCATCCAACATCTGCATTAAAATTAAAATATTTAAAATTTAAAATCGTGTAAGGCTTTATTCAAAAAGATATACAATCTATCAAGAATTTTTTATCATATTCAAAATTTGAACTAGAGACTTTTAATTAAGAAATATTATCATCCTCTACTCCATCATATGTCTGTTGCTCTGTAGCTGCCTTCCTCGCTTCGTCTTCGGCTTTCAGAGTTGTGAACAAGGAAAAACCAAAATGGGTGCGTAAAAATAATTAAATATAATTTTTTGAATGAGTTTTATGAAATTGAAGAAAGTGCAACCGCAGAAAATAATAATTGCGAAATCAACTTTTTGTTTTTTCATTTATTTTGCAATTTAAAAATTAAATTTGAATTTTCGACACCCCCAACTTGATTATTCCTCAAATAAATAATGGGATCAAATGATGTCGTTTCTTGCTAAACTAAAGGTCTCGATTTCAAGCTTTGAATACGAAAAATTTTTGTAGACAAGAAATCTTTTCGAACAAAGTCTTAAACAATACGATCTAAAATAATCGAATTTTAATACAAATATTAAATGAAAAATAAAAATAAAAAAAATACCATACAAAAAAATAGTAGAAAAAAAGAAGGGCTAAAAATGAAAGAGAGATAACATGTAATGAAATGAAAGTGGAATGTGATCTCATTAACATGTAGCAGCCAAACAAGACCTCATACAACTGACAATAATTGTATCTCGCCCATAATAAAAAATTTCCTACTTCACAACAATAGAACAATTACAAGATTTGTCAACTATGTTGATGAGGATAGTTATCAAATAAACTATAAGCCCATTTGAATTGGCTTTAAAAAAAATAACTTTTAAGTCAAAAAAAAGTTAAACTGAAATGAGATCATTGTCCGATCTTTGTCGCGAAATCCCCAAATGTGCATCTTCGAGTGTTTCAGCCAATCCTTTTAAGTCGAAAAAATAAAAAGTAGGGGAGACCTTTTGATTTCTTGATTTATTGTCATATTTGACTTATTTTGAATCATTTTTTACCTTGTCAAACACTTCGTAACTTATTTTAAGTCCTTTTTGATTTATTTTAAATTACTTTTTATATTTGTCAAACACTTCCAAACGTCAAAAATTGACTTAAAAATAGGTTTGACCAACTTTTAAGTCAATCCAAACAAACACTAAATGTTTTCCCTTCTACAAGGAATGCAAATTGCCCGGGGATGAAACAATTGTCTTTACTTCAATATCCTCAGTTATTGGTTATTCGATCTCATTCTACCCAGAATACATAGCCACAACAAGCAAAACTTCTACCATTGTACATATAGACTTTCTTTTAAACATTTTCCTCTCCTATGTTGGATCTTTGCTGATGAAGACATCACCTTCAAGCTCAATAGGAAGGACAAATCATAAAAGACCACACCAACACTTACAGTCTTATTATCCAAACCTGTTGTTTTAACACAACACACTCTCACTAAAGCATAATGAAGGGATCAAGGTTCAGTTTCAGTGCCCAACGATAGGGAAGTCCTTTTTATATGACCCAAAAGAGGTGCTTTTTCAGCAGTTGTACCATGCACTAAAATCTACTTCAACGAGAGTGAGTACACTTTCTTGGCAATCTTTAGTAGGTCCAAAGGCAATTATGCATGGAAAAATAAACAGGCACATTATGCAATATGTTGCGTAACAGGCACCATGCTGCTCTGCACTTAGTTGATAAAATCAACAAGGACTACAAGAAGTGACAAATTTCATGTCAAACAAACTTTATCTAAAGTACTCACAAATTCACACACCATTTAAAGTAGAAGATTTATACACTTTCTCTTAACACTTCAATTGTCTTGCTTGTAATGAACGCTGCATTTCCAGAGTACCAATGTCCAATTCCATTTGACTTCAATCTTGGGATTGCACACACAGAAGCCCCACATAAATCCTTTGATTACAAATGTGAACTAGAAACTGATAAACCTGTCTGAAAATCCCACCCACCCACCCAAAAAAAGAAGCTAAAACCTATCATTGAAATATTACACTCCACGCACAAAAAGATCAAAGAATTGGTTCCCAAAATTAGACCCTTATAACAACTGAAAAGTCATTCGGTAGCAAGCGAAAAGATAATTTATTTATAGATGCTTCCAAATAGAAACATGCATTCAGCATCAAATGGCATATATTCTAAATGGAAATAGTCCCTTTCAAAGGTGAAAATTCAGATTGGCGCAGAGACTGGCTTCAAAAGGAAGTGAAACAAGCATTCAAAAAACAAATCACATATGTTGCAGATAGAGAAATAAGTTTAAATATCACTAGGATTAGATACACACATGTTCACTGTGGATACCTGTTAAAAGTGAATTCAGAAAGGTGCAGAGACTGAACACAGAACTGCTTTATCAAATCCAACCATTTACTATTCACATGTCAAAGCGCTGTCCAAACTATGTCTTGTTGAACCTTTCTACAACACCTTAAATACAAAATTTCAGAAACTGAACAGGTAGCTGCTTATCTTAAGCCAAAATGTGCAGTTTTGGAGTCCCTTCAGGGATATCTGACAACACAAGTGCATCTTTTGTTGGAAGCGCATTGTTCAATATCATATGCTGAAGTACTCTTCTAATTGTGTCTTGTTTAGCCTTTCTACAATAACTGAAAACAAATTATACATTATCATCTTCGTTTTTTTCTTATCACAGCTCCAGCTTTAAAAATAAAACACAATGAGAGGAGAAAAAGAGAGACAAATGTGTGATGGTAGTTGCTGGCATTTGATTTTCAAATTAGCAGTCAAAGGACTGCCTACATTTGCACTTGAGGGAGTGCATACTAGGCTGCTACTAACACTTTTGGTGCAACATTAACATTCTTGTGGAGAAATAAAGTATAAGTAGTGCGCTCCTCTTTTCCCAAAAAAAGAATTCTAAAACATATGCAAGTACATGGATCATATAAATAAGAAGCGGTCCATGCGATTATTAACCTCTGCAGACTGCCAGGCAAATTCTTTTCCTTTTTGGATCCTTCCTCACAATTTTTCGGAAGGAGCAAAATACTTGCCAACTGGTTACATAGAACCAGTCTTAACAATTAGTAAAATATAGAGGGTTTTCTTCACATTGAGATGCAATGCAAGTTTATACTGTGAAGTCAAGTTCCTGCTTTTAATACCCGATAAGGGAACATGGATTTCCTGATATCCTTATTTTCCTTTTTCACTTTTGTCCCTTCTTCTCTTTTTCCTTCTGATACTGTTCTTCTCTTTTCTTTTCTAGAGAACAAAAGTAGGGAGGAATAATACAAAATAAGGAAAAATAGGTCAGACCATTATATACTTCAATTAAGTGAAACTAGAAACTTCGTAATAAAGATGAATCTGTTTACATCAGTTTTTTTTAGTCAAGGCTTACATCAGTATTTATTTTAAATGGCAACTCAACAACCAAAAAGTGAACAGATTTACCAATGAATTTGGACATTCAAATTGATATTTTTATGCACCCAGGTACGTGAGCCCATCATCGCCCCTGTTGGTTGGCTACTTAAACTTCCGCCTTGTTGGTGGGAGTTCGATTCCCCACCTTGTAATCCCCTTTCCCTCTACATAATTAATAAAAAATTAAGAGAAGGGTGCTTGAGCAAAAAAGTTAGCAATCTGCTCATGCAATTCCTTCACAAGCATCCAGTTTCCACTTTCTCACCCACCTACAATTATGTCCAAAAGAACAAATATCATACTGCAAATTTACAGAGTCATTCTGCCTAAGCATTATCTAAGTTGGATAAAATACAAATACTTAGATGCTTGATCAGTTGATATACTCCATTTTACACGGTCATGAACATCCTCTGTGGATCAAAGTTTTTAGTGACACATCTAAGAATCTTATGTATATTTAACCCTTATATGATAGAATATTCTATAATAATTGGAAACCAAGGGCTAAGGGATCACACCGAATTGATTGCTTAGTTTCAACCAGGAGTGGCTCTAGTAAATCGATGGCCTAACCGAATTCAAATGGAGGCCTTAAATTTGAATATATATTTTTATAAAGTTTATTATAGTCAATAATTTAATCTTTCTTGAGACATAGTATTCATAATTTGTCAAACTTCTATCACTTCTTGACTGTTCTATATAAAAAAAAATATTTTCTACAAATAATACTCGATATTATTTTTTAAAAAAATACTTATAACCTATTATTTTTAAAAAAAAATGAGGCCCCTCAAATTTGGGGGCCTAAGGCGAATGCTTTTTTTGCAAAGCTGTAGAGCCGCCCCTGGTTTCAATCCTTTGGCAACTTTAACCTTTTATCCTCCAGTTTACATGTACGGCAAGGTAGACAAATATGATTATTTTACACCTTAGCTGAGTACAGAGTCAGGCATTGGGATAATATGCATGTTGAGTTTTGCCACGACTTGTCAAATATTTCTCTTACCACAACCATATTTTAACCTATTGATGATTTTATTATCTATTGAGATGATATACTACTTAGCATTTTAAAGAAGGAACATGTATCTAGATATAAATACTAAAGATAAATTTATCTGGCTTTTAAGGAGGAGAAATACTAATTTAGATGCCTAATGGAAGCACAAAAAGTATACCTGATTCTTCATATGCTGCTCCTTTAACACAGACAAGATGGTTAATGTGTTTGTTAGTTGACTAGGTGATTTCAGAAACGAAAAAGAAAGTTGCATTATACAAAGCAAAATCACATAAGCACAAAACGTGGTGCGATCTGACTGAACTGTAAACTCAATGGATCAATCTTACCAGTGTAAAAAATATAAGATTAAAGCAACAGGGCAAGCCACTAAGTTCTTCAATTAATGGGATATAGCATTCAATTAATGCGATATAACATGAATTAACTTCTGTACCTCTGATTTTCCACAATACTAAGTAAAGGATCCCTCCAAATTCTCAATTGCAAAGTCTGAGGATAAAACAAATGATATAACCACACACATATTTCAGCTTGCTACCTTTATTGCACCAATATCATCAATCTTTGAGCTCTTGTGCTGCAATATTTCAGCATGCGAATACGGCAGAGTTAGAAAAGATAAAGATAAAAGTATCAATGCAAGATCACCTATGTAACTTGTTCAGAACAATAAACTTGAAACTTTCTGGATACTTGTTTGGTTAAGTTCTTCATAAAAATTCCCGACAAAAATATTCTGGGTTACTTTTTGAAAAAAATAAAAATACTCAAATCAAAAGATACGCAACTTCAACTTGAAAAAGAAAAAAGGTACTACATTTATCCAGACATCTTTCTTGCAAAAATGTTTCCTCAAAGATATTTCTCCAAGGAAAACACTTGAAGGAAGTTGTTCAAACACCACTTTAAAGTTTGCTAACGTACCAAAGATAAAGGAACATATGAATTCAAAATTATTCAGTTCTACCTTGCTTCTCTTGTGTTTGTGAACATCATTAAATTCCTCCTCTCCATCATGCTTCCTTTTCTGGGATCAATGAAAATATCATAATCAGTCAACACTTTCAGTACTGTGAAGTACCATTGTTGCCTCTGGCTGAAGTCCTATACTCCAGCAAAAATTGGTGATTTTCAAAAAGCATCTCAAGTAGATGGTAGATAAGCATCAATTGAACAAGAACTTACATTGGAAAGGGAAAAAAACCAAGGTTTGCAAATAGAAGTTTACAACATCAACATAGTCTCTCTAGTTCAGTACTAACACATGCTGGCAGATGCTTTAACAATGGTGCCAACTCTATTCACAAGATTTTTGTTTTGTTTTAGGTGTAGACTGGGATATGTAAATGAGGTGGAAATAGTGATACAGGTTTTAGAATCACTTTGGGTCTAGTCTTTTGTTTATGAAATTCCCCTGCTGATATGAAATAGCTATCGCAGTTGTTGTGCTGTATCATTCGTACAATTTTACCTTACCTTTTCAAAAAATGAGATAAACAAATTCAAAGCTCAGGTTACTGCAAATGGGTCAGAAGAGAGAGATAGCTTGAGCTGTATCAAAGCTACAGCATCAAGAAAGAGTTTATGCTGATGTCGAAGTACCTTAATAAGCTAAACATGGAGTAAACTCAACCTTTTGCCTGATTAACTAAAGAGTCAAGCAACAGAGCATTTCACAGGGTCCAGGTCGCATTTTTCAAGAAAGGTAAACTTTTATTTCCTTGACGTTTTCACCCTGCAATCCAATAAAGGCAACTGAAAACAGGAAAAAATAACAAACTCGATAGAATTGTATGATCCAGTGAAATTTAGGGAAGGGTAGTGTTCAGCAAAGTTCTACTATCACATGACAAAAAATTCAGCACCTTTGGACAGTTCTGTTAAGAAAAGATAATATTTAGCAAACTAATTTGAAAAAGCTGTTCTTTAAACCAGTCGTCTGAACTTCTTCATACCAAAAAAGCAGATGATATATTTAGTAAGAATCAACATATTGCACCAATTGTCTCAAGGTATTTCTAGTAGCAGACCTTCTCGTGATGTTTCTTCGAAAGATCAGCACCAGAATCATGATGAACACTTTTGTCTCTCTTTTTGTCTTTATCCTTGTCTTTACTTCGATCTTTATGACGATGTTTGTGCTTCTTATGCTCTTTGTCCTTCTCCTTGTCCTTATCTTTGTGCTTTTTATGCTTCTTCTCCTTGTCTTTCGACTCACTTTTGGATTTTCCAGCTACAGTAGGGATGCCTTTCTCAGACTATTAAACAGAAGAAGTTAAAGCATTACTTAACAAACACTTAACTAAGATGGATTCTTGACACTTAAGTTTCAATCAGTAGATTTCTTACAGGAGGCAGATCCACTGGAGCCGCTTCACGTAGTCGAAAAGCTTCACCAAGAACGTCTAGGTCAAATGGCTGGATGCAGGAACTCGTCTCTCTTGACAAGGAAGTATCCTGTATAAGCTGATCCAATTGCATCCCTTCCCCTTTCCTAATTTCTGTGTCACCCACCACATTGTGAAGATAATGGGTATCTGAAATAGACAATGGAAGTGACCTCTTGCAGAAGAACTCTTGATGAGGCAACAATTTGAAGTGACTAATAAGATCCACAGCACCTGTAAGTTCTCTGGGCCCTGGTTGTGCATTTTGACCAAACCAAAACAGTTATAAACTAAAGATTTCTTGATTAAAAATGGCAGGCATTCTAAAGATAACCATATCAGAGTCTGATGATGGATTAAAATTAAGACTCTGATGTGGCTATCTTTGTTATCAAAAGAAATCCCATATTCTTTAGTAGTCCAGTAACCTCTACAACACCTCACATGTGAACAAAATATCAATTCCCTTTGTCAAGATTTAATAAATTTAGGATTATAATAGTCACAATGATCAGAAGTCAAAGAATTATAATCTGACAGCTAACACCATCCAGGTGATGAAGGAAAATGCTTGAGAATACATTGTTTTGTGATGACAAACTTTTACAAAAACTCATTCTATGATAAACAATTATGCCACATGTAAGGCCCCAGAGTTATAACATAGCATCAATAGTCCTTTTCTTTTCTCCAAAATAAACCATGAATCCATTGGATGCAGAAATCACACAAAAATGAGAAGGCAGTAAAAGATGACTTTTACATCCTGAAAGAGATAACAACCACAAAACAAGGATTGCAAGGGAAAATAAATCAGCCAGCTGCACATTTGAGCAAAAACCTGATGAAATGAAATTCATTTTACTGTAAAACAGAAGCTAGTTATGCATATAAAGACCCTCGCATTATCAAATATCTGGAGTAGTCAATATAGGGACTGTAGGTTACTAGTTCTGTTTCAAAGGGAAACGCAAAATAATATAAGGGTCTTACCTCTTCCAAATCTCTTGTTATCAGGATCCATTAATTAGTAACAAGTATGTGAGTACAGCATTATCTCCTGGAAAATATCAATAGGTTAGAATAGGTCCATAACTATCCTTCTAGGCAACGGTCAGAGTACAGCACTAGCACTAAAACAGAATGTATAGTATAAGCAGAAACTAAAAGATGTAAGAGTAATACTGAGACCACCACAAAGAACAAGGAAGTATTAAAAGATGGAATATGGTCACTGCTTGCACATTTGGTGGACAATTTGGAAAGGAAGGAACTCTAGATGCTTTGAGAACAGCAGCCACATAGTGCAGAAAATCAAACTTAACCGTATTAAACTCTTATGTTTTTGGTGAAACTAGAAACACCCTGAGGATAGGCACATTATGTTCCTGTCACAACTGTAGAATGGTTTTGCTCTCTTTAGCTCACTTGTATATATTGTTCCAGTACAACTCATGTATTGTTTTTTGTTTAATACATACATGTTACCTTCTCAAAAAGAGCTCATCAACCTTTCTCTTTACCTTGTCGAAAAATAAACTACCTGATGCCCTCATTTTGCATAAGCTTTCCTGGTCTAACAAAAGGAAAAAAGAATGTGCCAAAACAAGGCTAAATTCAGAACAACATTACAACATTTTTGGGAGAACTTAATAGAAAAATCAGAATGCGGGTTCACACAGAGATACACTCATATTTTCAATTTCTAAAGCTCCACCTTCCGGGGGGTTGGCAACTCTTAGAGTGGACATGAACAGATACTTCCAAAAGGACGTGGAACAAAATAAGACTAAAGAAAACAAAATCTATTGAAGTAGGCAAAAAGTTACTCAATGTTCAGCACTACGCTTTCACAAGATGTAGAAGGTTCTTTCTTTTTTGGGTAAGTAAGGAGGCAAGTCGTACTTAAGCAATGATGTCCACATCTGTGATTACAAGGCAGAAGAGATAGATGAAAAAGGAAGTGATACATAATGTTTAATCAGATTGTTAATGGGGATCCCAAAAAGAGGAGAACACAAGAGAAAAGACTACTTCTCTTCAGTAGACAATGACAACAGGAATTGCAAACACCAAGACATCAAACTTTTATACAAAACTAACTATAACATAGTTTCCAATAGCAAATCTAGCAAGTTTTTTTTTTTTCATTTTTAACAAGTAGATACCACATCCCTTAGCAGCAGAAGTACCTGATAAAATATTTTACCCTAAGCTTGAAATATACATCTTATCTAAACATGCAAAAATGGAGACCCCACCAAACAACCAACAACAGTAGGCTTCTTCACCATGCAAGAAATTGATTTTCCTTTATACTGTCTATTTTCTGCTTTCCTTTTCTACAGCTAACAGCAATTGTATGATTCCTCATTCAGCGGAACTTCAATTAGCTACAGTCCCGTTATTACATTTTTAGAGATTCATTGTGTAGCTCAAGAAAAAGCAGACTATGAAGCCAAGCTCAACATTTTTAGAAAGTTAGTTGAGAAATGCAACAAGACCAAGTTTTGAGCATAGCAATCAGAGTAGTGCCCAAGTTACCAAAAGAGTTGAACTCCGAGGGTGGGTGATTCTTTCGCTACCCTCAAAATCAATACTTTATAAGCAAAATCAAAGCTCTACTCATTTCCCTCATAAATGAAACATGTTGATCTGAGAATTTGAACAAAATTAGGAAAAAGGGAAAAGGAGCTTACTCGCTGATCCAAATCCAATAAAGTTAATTTTGGAATCCGTGAAAGCACGAAAGTCGTCAGGAATTCAAACTAAGGAATTAGGGTTTAGCAATTGACCAAAGGCTTCGTCTTCGAATTCGTATTTGGTTGAACTGAAATAAAACCTAATTCAAATGCCGATTGGAAAGAAGAAAACGGAATCGATGCTTTCAGTTTCCCGAGAAAATTAAGGGTGTTTTGTTTTTTCACGGATTGACCCAGAGCCGATAAAATGTTCTTTAAAATGTGATTAACTAATTATGTGATTAAATTAATATTTTTTTAAAATTTTTTTAATCTTTTATAAAATATAAAAAAGCATACTTTTTATAATTCAAATCAAATCATTTAAAAGAAAAAAAAATCTTTTCATTTTCCTTCCTCTCTTCTCTCTCTTATTTTCTTCCTCAACTAGGGGATTGTTCATCTTCTTCCTTAAAAATTCGGAAATCGGTCGTTACTCTTTCTCTCCAGTTGTTACTCTTCCTCTTCAGTCCTCCATTACTCTCTCATCTTTCTGAACTGTAATCGTGTTCAACTAGAAATGGGTAAGTTTACAATTTTCAAAGTTTTTTTCTTGAATTAATGAACAATAAAATGTTCTGTATGTGTAAAAAATAAATAATCGACTTAATAGTGAGTATTATTTATCATTTTTGAATGAAAAATCAGCCAACTCAAAAAATTCTTATTTTGAGAAAATGTATATGTATTGTTATCATTCAATGAAAAGTAGTTTTTTGTTGTTGTTGTTAATTTTTTTGGGTCATTTTATTAATGATTTTAGAAATATAGTGTTGTTCAGGCATCCAAAATATATTTCATTTGTTTAAATATTTAGCGTATGTTGCCACATTTTATTGATACGTTGGTCATCTGTTGCCACATAAGATTCAAATGTTGCACGAATCTGTACAGATGTGTCAACATATGATGCATCTGTTGCTACATAAGATGGATATGTTTCGCAACAGCAGATACATCTGTGGCAACATAATGTTAATTTATCGCAACAGACTATCTATCGGTTGCAACATACTGTTATTATTATTTTATAATGAATTGTAAAATCTCAATATTGTTTTATTTACCTTGTAGATGAAATGATACAAAAAGTTTCATCCATGACAACAACTCAATCTTCTAACATGAAATGCTTTTTTTGTCTATGCGAAGAATGTGAGCAACAACATAATTATTTTATTAGTCGTGTTAAAAAACTCACTGATATTTTTAAGGAAATATCTCATAATATTGATGTGCAAAGATCCAAGAAGACTTCACAACCTTTGAAATGTAGGAAATTGCAAAAAATCTATTTCTCAAACACTTTCTATGATTATTGAGAAGAAAGAAAAAAAGAAGAAGGCAAAGGAGGAGAAGGAGGAGAAGGAGAAGAAAGAGAAGGAGAAGGAGAAGAATGCAAAGGAGGAAAAAGGAGAAGAAGGCAAAGGAGGAGAAGGAGAGGGAGAAGAAGGCAAATGAGGAGAAGGAGAAGGAGAAGGAGAAGAAGAAGGAGAAGGAGAAGAAGAAGAAGGCAAAGAAGATGGATTATGGAGATGGAGATGGAGAAGCAAGCAGAAGGAGAAGGTGAAGTAGAAAGAAATAGCGAAAGCGAAAAAGAAAGGGGAGAAATTCGAAGTTGTCATTTGTAATGTGAAGCGAAAATATCCATTTGAAGGTTTTAACATTGACTGCGAGGGTCCAACTGAACTAATGTCATCCTTCTCGCAATGGATAAACAAGGGTCTTTACAAGCATCATGCCAAAAAGTAAGTAAAGTAAGGTCGTTCAACTATTATTAGAATTTCTTCTTGTTGTCCAATTAATAATGATTACACAACTGCAGAGGAAACAAGGAGGATCGCTACTTAGCCAATTGCTCAAAACTTGAACTTGACCAACTTGATTTAGTAGTTGCATTTCCAATAAATAAGGACTGGTTCTACGTAATGTCTCAACACAATAAGTGCTGGAATGATGAGGTGAATCCATGCCCACTTTTATATGTATTGTTTAGTACATGAATATATACAATTAAATTGATACACTTGTTTCATCTGTGTGTGCAGTATGTGGATGTCATATTTTATTATTTGTGTAAGAAGTCGAAGCAGCAGATTCATTCTAAGTATCAATATACCACCACTAGTTGTTTTTTCAAAACATACATTGACAATTCTAGTGAATGTGAGGATAAAACCATTGACATAATGAAAGGGTATGATATATCTTCTAGAATGCCTTGGCACTTGACGGATGATGTTTATGTCCCTGTAAATAGTAATGGACAATTCCATTCGGTCTTGGCAGTCGTTGCACTGAAGGAACGGTGTATTAAAGTGTATGATTTCATGTCCTCAAATAAGTCTAATAGAAAACTATCCTCCGATATTCAAAAGATGGCTACAATGTTGCCAAAGTACCTTGAGTTGAGTGAATTTTTTGAGCAAAATGAGCGAATCAACTGGTCAGTTCTTAAATGTTACCTAGGAAAGAACAAATCTCACCCATTCGAAGTCATCATGTTAATAGTATTGCACAACAAGAAAGCAGTAGTCTGTAAGTATCACAATATTATTTTATCTTACGACTATCGAAATGTGATGTTATTTTTTTTCTGATTGATGATATACCATGCAGAGATTGTGGAATTTTTGTTGCTACATACGCTGAGTATTTGAGTGATAGATTACAAGTACCATCATATAAAATTAGTGCTGACATCTTTCGCTTGAGATATGTTTCACTCCGAAGGAATTATGGGATTGTAAAGGCTCGAAATGGTTATGTTAGTGACAATAAAGACCCAGAGATGCATAGAACTAAAAAAAAAGCTAAGATCGATGAAAATGTTGTGTTTACAACCATTTATTAGATAGATGGTTATGTATTAAAATATTTTTTATGATTATTTCTGATTTTGTTTAAATAAATGTCAATTATGATGGAAAGGATCAAAACTATATGTGGCAACAGAGTGAATAATCTGTAACAACAGTTAGTATATACGTCGCAACATATGTAATTTCTGTAGTAATAAACACGACAAAATTATATGTGGCAACAGATCGTATATATGTAACAACATACAGTATATATGTGGCAACATATGTCACATTTAAATTGTCCTAATTAAAAAAATTAAACGGCTTTAATTTTTATTTTTCCTCGCTCCTTTCCCCTTTCTCCTCTCTCCTCTCTCTATACATGTGTCGTTTCGTATTCCAAGAATTATTTATTTATACTAATTAATTTCATTTTTCTCCTCTCCTTTTGCCAGTACAGTACACTTCTCCTTCTCTTCTCTTCTTCTTTTCCTTCTTTCACAGATCATCCTCTACAACAAAGGTGGTGTTGTGTTGTCCTCATAATTTTTATTTATCGTTGATATATATCTTATAAGGTAATATTTAATTAGGGTTTAAAATGCATTTGCTTGCTTATCTCCTTATTGCCCTGTTTTGACTTGTGGTTGTAGCTCATTTTGTGGCTTTCAAATATTTTATTTTTGTGGTTGCAGATACAAATATAATGGCTCCTGTCAAAAGAAAACTTGATATTGATACATCTGACCAAACAAATATCCATAAGAATGCTAGGTCTAAAATTACTAGGAAGAGAAACGAAAATACTACATTTTTAGCAAATCTTGCAACTAAAGCAGCTTCTTCTTATCAAGCAGAAGTAGAATTTGTCAAAAGAAATATGAACAAAGAAAAGTAATGGATGAAGAAGATAGAAAACAAGAAGAAGTTGAGGAACAAGGGAAAATAAATGAAGTTCAGGAAGAAGAAGGAAAAAATATAGAAGTAGTAGTTGTGGCACAATAAGAAAAAATAAATGAAGTTCATGAAGAAGAACAAGAACATCATGAAGAGTTCAATGATAGTGGTGATTATGGGATTAAAATCATCAATACATACACTTTTCATGTGCATCTGCAGCCTGATGTTAATGGTGACAATATTATTATGTCAATCCTGGGAAGACCTTTCGTCAAATTCAGGAATATCCTCAAGAGAAACCAATTGGAAGATTTTTTCACAAATAGTTGTCTTGGTCATTTTCTTGATTTACCCATTGATCCACTTCCAAATTTTCAAATGAGCATCGTATATGAACTTCTGAAAAGAAGGTTCATTTTTGAAAATCCTAATAAGAAGGATGAGATTCTAATTAATTATTGTGGCATGCCAATTTTCTTTGGCATAAGAGAGTTTGTCATAGTTACAAGGTTAAAATGGCATCCTCCTGTTGAGCCCATCCCTGAATACATTGTTAAAACAGAACCACGAAGACAGAAAGTAGTAAAAGAAGTAGCAGAGGCTGGACAACAATCACGGTCAACTAAGGAGCAGGACTTGATGTCCCTTCTTGGCAAAATCTTTAAAATTTCTGACTTATTAAGTTTGTTAGAACGGGAGGATACACCAAGAAGCACAATGAGTCATTTTTCTTACTTTGGTTTACACATAATATACTTTTGCTGAAGAATTCAAACAACAACATACTTTTAAAGTATGTCAATTTCTGTCAAGATATTGAAACTTTCAAGAACTACCCGTGGGGTCATGAGAGCTTTCATCTAACTGTCGACTACTTGTTGAGGCCTTTAGGAGAAAAGACCAGTAACTTGTTTGGGTTTCCATGGGCTTTCATGGTAAAGCTGAATGTTTTTAATTTTTTCTATTCTATTAAATAATTATTCAATATTTGATTATTGACAGGTTTTCCTTTTTATACATGTTTGGGCATTTGAAGTCATTCCTTATTTGACCCATAAAGTGATTGCAGAAGAAGAGAGTTCATCCCCAAGGATGATGAGATGGTTGATGGCAAGAACAAAAACTACCAAAGAAGGGCATATCCCAGATCTTTTTAACCCTCCTTTGGATGTAGTAAGATGAGAATATCATTAGTATATTACAGTCACATGTTGCTACATATGTCTCACATGTTGCTGCAGATGATTCAGTTGTTGCTATATATAACACAAATCTTGCTACAGATAAATCATCTGTAGCAACATGTGGCACATATAGCAACAGACAATTCATTTGTAGCAACATGTGGCACATGTAGCAATAGACAATTCATCTGTAGCAACATTTGTTTCACATGTTGCTACAGATAAATCCTTTGTATCAAGATTTATGTTAGATGTAACAACAGATGAATCATTTGTAGCAACATGTGAAACAAATCTTGCTACAGATAAATCATCTGTA